TCCAAAGCAGCCACAGGCAATGCAGAAATGAACCGGAGTGGCTGTGTCCTAACATTTTATTTACAAACACAGTTTGTCAATATCTGCTTCATAGTGATGTGTACCTTCCTTCCCTTTGATTGCCTTCTAAAATCTCTTTGCCTTTGGTGTTTTGCAATATCACTACTATATATCTAGGTGTGGATTCTCCTTTATCCATTTTTTGCTTCCAGGATTCATCTTCTTTTTAATTAATTATTTATTCTTGGCTGTATTGGGTCTTTGTTGCTGCGCACGGGCTTTCTCTAGTTACAGCAAGCAGGGGCTACTGTTCATTGCGGTGTGTGGGCTTCTCATTGCGGTGGCTTCTCTTGTTGCAGAGCACGGGCTCTAGAATGCGGGCTTCAGTAGTTGTGGCATATGGGCTCAGTAGTTGTGGCACATGGGCTCAGTAGTTGAGGCTCACAGGCTCTAGAGTGCAGGCTCAGTTGTTGTGGCACATGGTCTTAGTTGCTCCACAGCATGTGGGATCTTCCCGGACCAAGGCCTGAACCTGGACCCAAACCCATGTCCCCTGAATTGGCAGGGGGATTCTTAACCACTGTGCCACCAGGGAAGACCTATAATTTCTATCATTTTGAAAAATTTTGGCTATCAGCTCTTTAAACATTTTTTTTTCAGTTCTACTCTTTCTCTTCTCTTTCTGGGAATTTGACTGCATATACATTGTCCTGCTTTATATTGTCCCACAGATCACTGAGGTTTTGTTCCTATATTTTCAGTGTTTTTTGTTTGGTTTTATCCCTTTTTGTATTTGGATTGTGCTGTCACTGTTTTCTCATTCACTGATCTTTTCCTCTGCTAATCCCTTGTAGTGATAATTTTACTTCAGATATCATATTTTTGATCTTTATAAGTTCTTAGTTCTTTTAAAATGTTTACTTCTCATTATATTCAAGTTTTTCTTTATATCTTTATACTTATTCATAGTATTTATAATAACTATCTTAAAGTCCTTGTTTAGTAGTTTATAATCTATCATTGTTGGGTCTGTTTCTACTGATTGATTTTCCCCTGAATTATGATCTATATTTTCCTGATTTCTTCACATTGTTGCAGGAAAGAATCCAAGACTGAGCCATAGTAAAGTGAAAGGTTTATTCAGGGAGATACACACTCCAAAGACAGAGTGTGGTCCATCTCAGAAGGTGAGAGAGGCCTCATCTTCTTTTTAAAAGGTCAGTTCAGGAAAAACATTAGCCATTACCTTTCCAAACAGTCTCTTTCTTACATTCTTTTTAGGATTCTTGTTTTGCTAGACCTTTGCATTCTATCCTCCATAATCATTATTTTTCTTCATATTTTCTCTTTTTGTCTCTCAGAGCTACATTCTGTGAGTTTCTTTCAGTTCATTAACTCTGTTAGCTATCATTTTTACCCTCTCCATAGTGGCTTTTTTTAAAAAAATAAATAAATAAATTTATTTATTTATTTATTTTTGGCTGCATTGTGTCTTTGTTGCTGTGCGTGGGCTTTCTCTAGATGCAGCGAGCAGGGGTTACACTTCATTGCAGTGTATGGGCTTCTCATTGCAGTGGCTTCTCTCGTTGTGGAGTACAGGCTCTAGGCACGCAGGCTTCAGTAGTTGCAGCACATGGGCTTAGTTGCTCCATGGCATGTGGGATCTTCCCGGACCAGGGATTGAACCCATGTCCCCTGCATTGGCAGGCAGATTCTTAACCATTGCACCACCAGGGAAGTCCCCATAGTGGCTTTTGATTTCAGGAATTCTATTTCTCATTTTTAAAAGTTGCCTTGAATTTCTTCTTTCCAAACAGTATCTTCTTGTGTGTCTCCTTTGTGATTATGTTAGCTCTAAATACTTCAAACATTCTATATAACAATTCTAGTATCTGTATTCCTTGGGTGACCAATTCTGAATTAATTTTTTCCCTCTACTCTAATTGACTGTTTGCAGAATATGGGTATTACCCTGTCTTTGGCTATTAGCTTGCTAGGGTTGCCATGACAAAGTAACACAGGATGAATGGCTTAAACAGCAGACATTTATGTCCTCACTGTTCTGGAGTCAAGATCAAGGTAGAAGCAGGTTGTTTTCTCCTCAGACCTCTTTCCTTGGCCTGAAGGTGGCCACCTTCTGTGTCCTCACATGGTCTTTCCTCTGTGTGCAAGCATTCCTGATGTTTTTTAATCTCCTTTTCTTATAAGGACACCAGTCACACATGCACCCCAATGTTCACTGCAGCACTATTTACAATAGCCAGGTCACGGAAGCAACCTAAATGTCCATCGACAGACGAATGGATAAAGATGATGTGGTACATACATACAATGGAATATTACTCAGCCATAAAAAGGAACAAAACTGGGTCATTTGTAGAGACGTGGATGGACCTAGAGACTGTCATATGAGTGAAGTAAGTCAGAAAGAGAAAAACAAATATCATATATTAACACATATATGTGGAATCTAGAAAAATGGTACAGATGAACTGGTTTGCAAGGCAGAAAGAGACACAGATGTAGAGAACAAATGCATGGACACCAAGGGGGAAAGGGGGGGTGGGATGAATTGGGAAATTTGGATTGACATACATACACTAATATGTATAAAACAGATAACTAATGAGAACCTGCTGTATAGCACAGGGAACTCCACTTCACTGTACAGTAGAAACTAACAACATTGTAAAATAACTATACCTCAGTAAGAAAAAAAAAGAACACCAGATTGGATTAGGGCCCACCCTAATGGCCTTTTTATTTAACTACCTCTCTTAAGGCCCTATCTCTAAATACAGTCATATTCTGAGGTAAGAGGGGATTACGGCTTCAACACATGCATTTCGTAGTGGTGACAGGGGTGGGGTAGCGGGGGAGACACAATTCAGTCTGCAACAGCTATGTATGGGAAGTCCTTGGTGTTTTACGTAGCATTTCTATGTTTAGTTTCCTATGTTGATAGAAGTCCTCTATACTCATTTAAAAGTATTTCAAACATTATTTGAAAAAGTATTCAGGACGTCATTCCCCAAAACTATGACTAAGAGCCCACAGTAAAATTCTAAGGTTAATTTTTTTTTCTCCTGGGATACAAGAGGTTATTTACTATAAGACTTCATTCAGATGGCACTGTTTCTGGGAATGGAAATTTATTTACAGATATCAGATTTAAGTAAATACTAATTTTGACATTTTTGCTGCTGAAAGCAGCATAAGCAAAGAAAAAGACAGCTTTTGGAGTCAGATCTGTGTTTGAAATGTTGCCCTACTGTTTTCACTCTTTACTACTGTGCTTCTTTGAACAAATTATTTAACCTTTCTGAACATCAAAGGTGGATAATTCTATTCTTTCTGTGGATTGTCCAAAGGATTAAATGAGCATGCCATCTAAAGCAATAGTTCTAAAATTTGACAGGGTGCCTGAAGAATGTTGAGAAGTACATTTTAAAAAATACACTTTTTAGGTCTGGTCAGCAGAGTATTCCATGGGTTTATGGTGGGGTTTAGGAATGCATAATCTTGAACTTCCTCAGGTGATTCTGAATGTAGCCAAATTAAAAAATTATAGATTGCTCTCACTCTGGTCCTACAGTCCTGCTAATTGATTTTGATAAATACAGTTGACCCTTGAACAACACGGGGGTTAGGGCGCTGACCCCCCTCACAGTAAAAAATCCACATATAACTCTACAGTCAGCCCTCCACAGCATCCACGGATTCAACCAACCACTGATTGTGAAATACTGTAGTGTGTCTTTATTGAAAAAGATGTGTGTATAAGTGGACCCGTACAGTTCAAACCCATGTTGTTCAAGGGTCAACTGCATATTTTAAATGGTGAGGAAATTACAGAAGAGGTTCCTACATTTAGTAAAGGTAATTTGACATTTCTTGAAAGATACATGTGGGCTCTTAAAAATGTGATTAATTTGAGTGCTGGGTTTATTTACATACAACTCTCCCGGACCTAAGAAAAAAATGAAAGCAGTCTGCAATATATATGCAAGAAGAAAACAGAAATATATGGATAAAAAGTAGGAAAAACGTGACCAAGGAGAAGAATGGAGGCAGAAGCCATTCTAAATAATAGAAAGAGAATGGAGACAATAAGTAAAGGTAAACTTAAAACATTTTAAATAAATGATTGTGTTTGATTACAGAATACACTATCATTGTACAAATGCCAACACAAAAGAATGAAAGTTCCTCTATTCCCACCTGTTATTTACCTTTTGAGAATCTTATATACACATACACACAAACTTTGTTAGTTTTTCAAAAATATACATATAGGTTAGTACTATTTTGCAACTTGATTTTTTCACTACTCAGTAGTACATCATGAACCCCTTCTGGTTCAGTATATACAGAACTTACTTGTGTTTAATGGCTGGATATGTCACTCATGTTCAGTAACATGAATATACTGTAATTTATTTTACCAATCCCTTTGCTGATGGACATTTAGGTTAACTTCATTCTTTTGCCATTACAAGTAATGCTGAAATGAACATCCTCTTCATATACAAATATAAATTTTTTTTTTTGCGATACGCGGCCCTCTCACTGTTGTAGCCTCGTCCGTTGCGGAGCACAGGCTCCGGACACACAGGCTCAGAGGCCATGGCTCATGGGCCTAGCCACTCTGCCGGCATGTGGGATCTTCCCAGACCGGGGCATGAACCCGTGTCCCCTGCATCGGCAGGTGGACTCTCAACCACTGCACCACCAGGGAAGCCCTACAAATATAATTTTTTATTATATATTCTCCACATATATGTAATATATAAAATTCAAATTATATATATTATATATATATATTTACTTGCATTTGTGCAAATATTTCTGTAGGCCTGATTCCTGGGTAAAAGGAAATGCCTTACTCTTCTGCCTTTTTCTGTATGACAAATTTCTGACTTTATGTGTTAACTAAGAAATGACTTCTGTTTCAAAATATGCCAAATGCATATGCAGCTTTCAGTAGCACACACTGTAGATTAGGACTTGGTGAACTTGAGGACTGAAAGGATTTCTTGACCTGCTTGCCTGGAAAGTGCAGTGGTCCCTTGTAGACCTTTTGTCTTCATTATTTTCAAAATTTCTTCTAAAACGAAAATTAAAACAAAAGGTAAAATCCAATTAAATCATATAGTGAAGCACATATTATCACTAAACAGTTTAATAAGATGATAAACACAGACTATTTACAAATTCTATTTATCCAAGAAAATAGCGTATACCATGTAATTTCTATGGAAGTGAACTTGGACTTCTGACAGATGAGAGCACCTTGGATTTTCAGGGTGTTGCTGAGAATTCTAATCAGACTGAATAACTGCTTTGCAGTGGTAGCCTACTCTGGACTCAACAGAAATGTTAGTTATACTTGCTATTACAGTAAATGATTCATTTTTTAGTTGCTTGGCTCTAATCTCTGCCCTATATCCTCCCTTTTGGATGAAAAGTGCCAATGAGGGTGTGTGCAAATCATATACTGACATTGAAAAGTGGTAGTAAATGAAGTAGCTTATTTCTTTAGAGTACAGAAAAAAGCAAGACCTTCCCTTTCCAAATAACTAACACTAAAAAGATGAAACCAAGAAACTGGGGTTACAAAAAACAAAAAAAAACCCTCAAAACCAAACAAACCCAAAACCCTAGTTAATCATGATGTGATCTGAGGGTCTACGTAACATATAAGATAATAATCAAACCTGAGATGTACAGAAAAGAGAAGAGAGATGGTCGATTTAGTTAACCAAGTAATCTGAAAACCAAGATATAAAAATCCTATCAGGAGATACCTTTCATGATAAAACTTCAGATGAACTAAAGAGTATGCAGCAGATCTGCCAAGACATGAAGACTAGAATATAGAGAGAAAATTCACAGGGTGAACTGAGGGTGAGGTGTTTTAAGAAGATTATAGATTCTGTATTTAAATATTAGTTGATAAATTAGGGAAAAAACTCTCCCTCGCTCCAAAAAAGACAATACTCTTTAAAATCAGAAAAATCTACCTCTAAAAAATCTCTCTCCTCTTTCAACATGAATGTTATGTCTGTATTATCTGTTGTCAGTGATTACATTCATTAACATTCTGGGTTACTACCATCTTTGACATAATTAGCCTTGATTTCAGCAAAGTAAATGGTTAAAAGATAAACTGGTCTGTATTACCTGGATTGTTTTCTTTAATGGTGACTAAATAGAACAATCCTCTTGGTGAAAGGAGCTCTGGAGCCAGTGGAAACAATCTGTCCATGACTTCACGACCATTTCTGCCACCAGCCCAAGCTGCCTCTATCCCGTGACTCCTTACCTGTGACCAATTAGAAAGATTGTTCTGTTTTGACTTAAGTTACATTAAAAAAACTGAATCTTTTTGACAAGTAACGTTCACCAAACAGGAATCTACTTTTTATTTTACTGCTGATGAGGAGGCAGCAGTAAAGCTGAATCTGAGCCCCACCATTTCCTAGCATGTGTGACCTTGCATAAGCCTGTAATCTTTTTTTTTTTTTTTTGCCCTTGGGATAGATATTTGTGTGATTAGCAACATAAAGGTCCTAAATATCTGTCACCATTTCACATTTAATTATGGCAGCTGGCACTACAGGAGAAAACTCCCTCACAGAACCCTTCATGTCTCCAAATCTTATACAGATAAGTCTGTAATCTTGATGAATTAGTTTCCTCTCTTACCTGTAAAATTAGAAAAACAACAGTTTTATCTGTAAAATTAGGAAAATGATAAAAAATTATTTTTGTCTTTTAGGAATAAATGAGGAAGTATATTTAAAGTTTGAGAACAGTGCTCTGTGCATAATAATGTGGTTTAATAATAGTTGATACTATTAATACAATGTTTAAATTCTTAATATAGAACAATTAGGAAGAAACTAACAGGGAGAACTTGTATTATAAGAGATCTACTTTGCAGAAACAAAGTTTCAAAATGTCCCACTGTATCTGGCTGTCTTCTAGATTACTGAGAGTACTACAGCCCTTTTTAAGGAACCCATTTATTACATAAAAGTACATTGAAGCATTTTTTCCTACAATGATCTAATTATAGTATAGAAACAAAACCCATGAGTTTATATAGTATTAAAAATCTTTAGATGCTTAACACTGTATATTGTTTCTAAAACTTAAGAATACATCGAGAGATGAATGGCTAAAGAAGATGTGGCACATATATACAATGGAATATTACTCAGCCATAAAAAGAAATGAAATTGAGTTACTTGTAGTGAGGTGGATGGACCTAGAGTCTGTCATACAAAGTGAAGTAAGTCAGAAAGAGAAAAATAAATACCGTATGCTAACACATATATATGGAATCTAAAAAAAAGAAAAAAAAAGTGGTCATGAAGAACCTAGGGTCAGGACAGGAATAAAGATGCAGACCTACTCGAGAATGGACTTGAGGACACGGGGAGGGGGACAAAGTGAGAGAGTGGTAGTGTATATATGGACATATATACACTACCAAATGTAAAATAGATAGCTAGTGGGAAGCAGTCACACAGCACAGGGAGATCAGCTAGGTGGTTTGTGACTACCTAGAGGGGTGGGATAGAAGGGTGGGAGGGAGGGAGACGCAAGAGGGAAGAGATATGGGGATATATGTATATGTATAACTGATTCACTTTGTTATAAAGCAGAAACTAACACATCATTGTAAAGCAATTATACTCCAATAAAAACGTTTAAAAAAAAAGAATATCTTGATGAAATCACTCAAAAACTACTTAAACCCTAATACAATTATTTTCTTCCTAATCCCTTTAATGGTTTTTGTCCACATTTTAGTTTAAATTGTTTACATACAATTATACATTCTGCTTTTATTCATTTATCATGGCATATATTTCCCCATTAAAAATAATTTCTTGGGAATTGCCTGGTGGTCCAGTGGTTAGGGCTCCACACTTCCGCTGCAGGGGACATAGGTTTGATCCCTGGTTGGGGAACTAAGATCCTGCAAGCCCGTAAAAAAGAATTTCTTTATACCTATAACCATATACATGTACAATTAAGAGAAATATGTTCGTATACCTCCTTTAAAAAAAAAAAACTGTACTTTTCCCTTTTCCTGTTCTGCTTGTCTGCTACCCTCCCATCTTACATACAGACAAACACGTTTTTCTTTTTTGTCCATGTTTTACAAAAAAAAGGATTATATCTACATTCTTACCTGTATCTTGCTTTTCTCAACAGTACCATGTGGAAATCTCTTCATGTGATCAGGTATAGTTCAATTTCCTTTTTAATGGCTGCATAATATTTTATTGTGGAAAAGTATCATTTCTTATTTAGCTATTGATGGGCATTCAGCATGTCCATTTGCTTAATTTTTTTGTATCTAATTTAAATTATTCTCATATTTATGATAAGCTTCTCAATATAATTTCCCACATAGTTAATCGTACTAGGGAATTTATCAGTTCCTCTGCTTTTTTGTCATGGCTTTCCTCCTGGAGACTTCCCTTTTCTAACATTCCAAGAATTCCCTTTTTCTGGGGCCCATATCTTCCCGTTTCTTGGCTTAATGCAGACCTACTCGAGAATGGACTTGAGGACACGGGGAGGGGGACAAAGTGAGAGAGTGGTAGTGTATATATGGACATATATACACTACCAAATGTAAAATAGATAGCTAGTGGGAAGCAGTCACACAGCACAGGGAGATCAGCTAGGTGGTTTGTGACTACCTAGAGGGGTGGGATAGAAGGGTGGGAGGGAGGGAGACGCAAGAGGGAAGAGATATGGGGATATATGTATATGTATAACTGATTCACTTTGTTATAAAGCAGAAACTAACACATCATTGTAAAGCAATTATACTCCAATAAAAACGTTTAAAAAAAAAGAATATCTTGATGAAATCACTCAAAAACTACTTAAACCCTAATACAATTATTTTCTTCCTAATCCCTTTAATGGTTTTTGTCCACATTTTAGTTTAAATTGTTTACATACAATTATACATTCTGCTTTTATTCATTTATCATGGCATATATTTCCCCATTAAAAATAATTTCTTGGGAATTGCCTGGTGGTCCAGTGGTTAGGGCTCCACACTTCCGCTGCAGGGGACATAGGTTTGATCCCTGGTTGGGGAACTAAGATCCTGCAAGCCCGTAAAAAAGAATTTCTTTATACCTATAACCATATACATGTACAATTAAGAGAAATATGTTCGTATACCTCCTTTAAAAAAAAAAAACTGTACTTTTCCCTTTTCCTGTTCTGCTTGTCTGCTACCCTCCCATCTTACATACAGACAAACACGTTTTTCTTTTTTGTCCATGTTTTACAAAAAAAAGGATTATATCTACATTCTTACCTGTATCTTGCTTTTCTCAACAGTACCATGTGGAAATCTCTTCATGTGATCAGGTATAGTTCAATTTCCTTTTTAATGGCTGCATAATATTTTATTGTGGAAAAGTATCATTTCTTATTTAGCTATTGATGGGCATTCAGCATGTCCATTTGCTTAATTTTTTTGTATCTAATTTAAATTATTCTCATATTTATGATAAGCTTCTCAATATAATTTCCCACATAGTTAATCGTACTAGGGAATTTATCAGTTCCTCTGCTTTTTTGTCATGGCTTTCCTCCTGGAGACTTCCCTTTTCTAACATTCCAAGAATTCCCTTTTTCTGGGGCCCATATCTTCCCGTTTCTTGGCTTACTCCCTTATTTTGGTGGAGCCCATTCTCTGGATGTTTCACAGGGTAAACTTACCTGTGGAAAGAGTGCATGGTGATGACAGCTTTTGCCAAGCCTGTCCCTTGTCACTTCTGTTTCAGTGTGGACTAGGAGCCCTCTGTGCTGGACCCTGTTTACACGCCCCCCAGGGATGCTCAGCCAAGTTTGTCTGGTTTGTCTGCTTGCACTAGAGACCGCCCTCCAGGAGGATCTCCTGGTGACAAGCACATTCTCACAGGCCATGGAGGGAAAGTTTTCATCTCCGGAAGGAGTCACGTTCGGTGGTCTGCTGACTGCCTACTACCTGGGCTTTGCTGTACCTTCCCCTGATCCTTTTATAAGTCACAGGTACCTAACCTCATGTTGAGGGATGTAATAGTAAGTATAGCCATGACTTTTTATATGTACAGACTCCTATTATTTGTTATGTCTCCTGGATCTAACCTCTAAGTCTCTTAACTTTTACCTTCATTGTTTCTTTCTTTTTATCTTCATGCTCAATGCACTGAAATATTTTCATTTGGTTTCCATACCACTGATTCAGGTCTTGACAGAGACTACATTATCTTTAAATTCATTTCCTAATGTTTTACATAGTAAAACATATTTTCAGGCTCCAGAAAATCTTTGTTGTGCTGTATTTAACCCTGCTCCCCAGCTAATTGCTCAGCTAATGGAAATTATGACACTAGCTCTCTCTGTTGGAACTGTGACAAAGCCCAAGTCATTGCCCACACTCATAATTACCTACATAATTACACACACAGCTTAGGAGTAGGAATGTGGGAGAAAGGAAGCCCATTCATCTCACCATGTTCCCAGAATCTCCTCCTCATTCACTAGTCTTCCCAGTAGTCTGTAGACCTGATAAACCATGATTTACTTAACTGTCTCTCTTCTGTTACATATACAGGTTCATATTACTTGTTATCATAAATAAAGGTGCACTAAACATATTTTTGGAAATTACAATTTATATTCTATTGGTAATCATTTTCCTAAATTAGATCTCAAAGACTGAGATTATTAGACTAAAATATTTTTGTCATGCTTGATATTTATTTCCATAGTGCTTTGCTAAAGAGTTTTGTTAAGCTGCAGGGACTTCCCTGGTGGTGCAGTGGTTAAGAATCCTCCTGCCAGTGCAGGGGAGACGGGTTCAATCCCTGGTCTGGGAAGTTCCCACATGCAGAGGAGCAACTAAGCCCATGTGCCTCAACTACTGAGCCTGTGCTCTAGAGCCTGCAAGCCACAACTACTGAGCCCACATGCCACAACTACCAAAGCCCATGTGCCTTGAGCCCATGCTCTGCAACAAGAAGCCACCGCAATGAGAAGCCCTCGCACCGCAACAAAGAGAAGCCCCCGCTTGCCGCAACTAGAGAAAGCCTGCGCTCAGCAACGAAGACCCAATGCAGCCAAAAAATAAATAAATAAATAAATTTATTTAAAAAAAAAGTTTCATTAAGCTGCATTTCCCTCAACTGCTGTTCACCTTATGACAATGACTTTCCTTCTCACATGAGTTCATATGTCAGGGGAGCAACAACTTCTCAGTAGTAACAGCAGCAATAGAGACCCTTCACATCTTGGTAAAGGAGAATGCAATATTTATCAGCCTTGCCAGAGAGTGATCATCAAAGAATAAAATAGCTAGTCCATCACTAAACTTTTGTCTGCTTTGACCATCCTTTCTTTAAACTGGGAAATGGTTACTGTGGTTTGCCTCTTCATCACTGGAAATGCTACAGCGATGCGTGTCAGGGTTATAGCTTTTTCCTACCTGATATGAGGACTGCTTTCCCCCACCCCCACTTCCTGACACCTGTGAAAGGAGGAAAGCTGAGGCTTTCAGAAATAATTCCTATGTGAATTTAAGGTGATTAAAAATATTTTTTTTTTGCAAATTTGTTATTCATGATAAAGGTACACACAGATACATGAATTTAAACACCATGGCTTGATTGGGATGGGATTTTAAAGAAAAGATATGGACCACAGTTTGTATTTCCATTAGTTTCAGGTTCCTTTCCTATGTCTACCAATAGTATCCAATAATTGACAATTACAAGTAAAATGAGAGCAGTCTCTGTTATTAGCAGCTGACTGATGTCATATGATGAAGTATGTTTGACTTTTAGATAGAAAAAAGCTGAAAATATTAGTAATTAAATTTTGTTGTATGTCTTACCTCTTCAGGCGGAGTCACTACATAGGGAGGATTAAACACCAGAAGATCAACTTTTTCCTTCAATCTTGGTAGCAAGCCTTTGACCTAAAAAATGTTCAAAATAGTCAGAATTTTAAACTGGACCCAGAAATAATAAATAAGCAGATGGATAGATAGATATCCATCTAATCAATCTTTAAATATACTCTCTCATGTTTTTAGAAAAAATATGTTAGCAAATTTAAGACAGAAATGGAGAAAAATATCTTTACACTTTCATTCAGATAAAGATTATATGCATTTACCTAAAAATAGGGAAAATAAACTACCAGAATGAACACTCTGCTCTTCAACAGCTCACATGTTTACATTCTGGGCTCACTTTTAGAAGACGGAGGCAAGCTCTCACATATTCTACACAGATTTGTGCACAACTTTAAAGTTATAGCTGCTACTTAAACATTTATTTTCTATAACCAAGGGAAATATTTTACAAGATGACAGAAAACATATATGAATGACAAAAATATCAGAAGACAGAGTTTTATTTTTCTTTCTACTTCTTTAACTACTTGTATATGTATTGGCTAAAACAATTAGATATCAAAGAAACAAAGGACTAAAAATAGTGGGAAGAGACCTGAAAACATCAGTTGTTTGGCATTTTATAAATATTTGAACTGATACAACTTTCTATAGAATAAGAAAAATGTCTTTTTAAAGAAAGTATATTTAGGGCAAAATGCCATTTCAAGCATCCCTCTGATTGAATTAAATAACTAAGTATTTAAAAAATTATGTATGATGTCATCCTATACCTTCACAGGCACAGTAAAGTAAAAATGCTGTATCCGGATGAGTTCTCACCCCTAAAGCCATTTCCTTCAATTATTACTTCACACTGACTCTCACAACCCTTTTATTCTTCAAAGGTAACTTCTTTCTCTACTCATTTAAAAAGAGAACAGATAACTATTTTGCGGAACATAATTCAGGTGTATCTTCTGCAAGTAGAAAGGCGACTAGTTAATCTGCTGTTCTTTCTAGTAATAACATTGGTGAGGAAGTACATTTGAAATAACCAAAAGCTTTGTTTTCAATTACATAAAGAAATTAAGTTTCCCAATTGTAAAAAGAATTCAAATATGTAATTTTACAGAAATGCTGAGTAAGGAAATTAGAAAAGAATTTGCTGTGTAATTACTTATGATGGCCCTGAGGTACTATATACTAATAATCATTTCAGTACTGACTTCAAATAAAGGAACAAATTGATACTAAAAAAATAGAAGATTACGGAGTTAAAAAGAAAATAGATTTAAATGAGAAGTCACTGTGGACTGGATATAAAGTCTAATTACAGGCAACCATCACTCATCCATATCTACCTTTTGAATAGTCTCACGGCACTAGAATAAACCCAAGAATTAAGAAGTAAGCAAAAAAGGCCTCTGACAGCAAGTTTTAAATCCATATAGCAAAAGGTACTCTGCGTGAGAAGCACTTATTCAGAATCCCTTAACTCTTAGTTTAAATAGGAGTCTAACTAAATTAATTGTTTGGTATTCTAGCACAAAGCACGTGAAAAGAGGAAAGTGCTATCAATGGGTAGCAGTGAAACATGACCACATAAAGTAAGTGAAAAGACAGACAAAGAGGAGAGAAAATAAAAACTCAAAATCACTGCAGGCTATAGCTACTTAATGTAAAGGCAGAAACACCTGAATAAACCTTAGTCATTATCACGTATAGTACAGAATAATAACTGATATTCATATTAATGACCCTGAATCACTAAAAGGTAAAATTATGTTCATTTTGTTTTAAGAATGTAAGGAAATGCATAAGACATATTTGAAAAAGATTTTCTTCTAAAACTAAAAAAGAAATACAATGAAAGTACTACTTTGTGAACAAACTCAGTTAACCAAAACAATGATTTGCTTTTATATGATAGCTGTGACACTCTATGTCCAGTGTTCTGAATACAAGCAAATGTAAAGAGTTTTGTAATCTGATCACAATACCTATGCTCATACCTATCTCTTCCTACCTTCTTTGCCACAAATCAACACTCCGCATCATGGTCAGCTTTCATTAATGAAAGAATGGATTCTTACAGCTTTAGAACTGACTACCACCAGTCATGTTATAAAACAGCTGTGAGACCTCACGACTTTGATTCAGAAGATGTGGGCTTAAATTCTGGATTTATGACTTTATTAGTTATATGACTTTCAAAAGTGTCCCTTACCTCTGTTAACAAAAATAGATATTCTGAATTTCTTGTATCTCTAAAGTTTTATTGTTCTATCAAAAGAAAATATAATACTAATTATGGACACATTAAAGAAACAACTTTAAAAATTTAGGGACTTCCCTGGTGGCACAGTGGTTAAGAATCTGCCTGCCAATGCAGGGGAAATGGGTTTGATCCCTGGGTCCAGGAGGATCCCACATGCCGTGGAGCAACTAAGCCCGCAAGCCACAACTACTGAAACCTGCGCGCTCTAGGGCCCATGTGCTGCAACTACTGAAGCTCACATGCCTAGAGGCCATGCACTGCAACAAGGGAAGCCACTGCAATGAGAAGCCTGTGCACCGCAACGAAGAGTAGCCCCCATTCGCCGCAACTAGAGAAAGCCCGTGCGCAGCAACAAAGACCCAACGCAGCCAAAAATTAATAAATTAATTAAAAAATAAACAAAATAAAAATTTAAAGAGTAAAATCACCACACTGATTGAGTATCTTTCTTGATAGTCTAATTTTTAATGGCAGTAACAACTTCTAGTGATATGTATAGAATTTCTTAGATCTTTGGCTTAATTCCTTCTAAGCTGCAAAATCATTTGTGAGTTTAAAAAAGAGAAAAGCTCAATACCCTTACCAGTACTAGAATAATACAGGTCAAGAAGCATGGAAAGCATTTTATATTTCTTATGCCCACCTGGTACATACTATTATGATTTTTGCTTATAAAAAGGTATTCACATTTATAACTGAAAAAAAGTTCAGAATCATCCAAATCTTACTAATATAATGTAAAATGTTTTAAAAACTGGAACTGAAAAACGTACGATGTGTAACTTAAAATGATGGTTCTGTAGTCGTCATTTGTTGTTTTTACCTGCCCAGGACCCATTCTGCCTTTAATCTGATTACATGTCCTTGACTTTCATTGGGGAAACTCTACCTCCTCTCATTCTCAATACAAGTGGCTTGGATTATCCCAACCGAGCTGCCGGAGTGGGACTATGATTCAGGCTCAAGCCAATCATGTGCATATTCCAATCCCCCTTGAGAGATAGGCATATGATGAAAGCTGATATAAATGGCACTCATTCTGGGGCTTCTGCTAGAGTAACTGAATAGAAAGTGTTTCTTTCCCTGTGAAGTTGCTGAGAAACAAGATACATACACGCAAGCATCTTGTTACTATGAATGGAACGACTGCTGAGGAATACAGCCACTAGAGAGAAGTTTACAGCTAAGAAAAAGATGCCTGTAACATCATTTGAGTTCTTGAAACCGTTCACTCTTTTTATTAAAGCCAGTTTGAGCATTCTTCTGACTGAAAGATACCTGATCTACACAGGCCAAGAGAAAGTTCCCTTGAATTGTGGAAAAGATGGATTATATCAGTCAAGAATTTACTTTGTTCCGCGGGTTAAAAGTTAATTAATGACTCAAGTTTCTTTGACCTAAATCACCTTGACCTTAACTTACTTGAAAAGAAAATTAATTATTACAGTACTGGACAAGAACTAACAGCTTACCAAATCTGTAATTATTGGTTGAATGTGGACTTTGTTACAGCGTGCTGTCTCCAGGGTACATGCTGCTGCCTCAGGGTTGACATCAGTGCACCTATAAACAGAAAAGAAACCAACTACATCCTGTGTCTACGGACAAAAATTCAAGGAATGTTCTACTCCTTTTACATAAAGTAGATCTATAAAAAATTGGAATGCTTTAATAATGGTGAATAAAAAAAAGAACTCAGATTTGTTACATTGACGAAAAAGATTGTTATATTGATATAATATCCCAGAGTAGAAGAATACACTTACATGCACACATATCTGAAGGAATTTATTAAATTATGAATCCAGCAGGAGAATACTAAGTAGCTACCAAAAATGAAATTTAAAAAGAAAATGCTCATCATACAATATTAAATGAAAAACATAGGAAATGAAAAAAAAATAAAGGAAACACAGTTGGACCATGTGTGGTAAAATTTATAGGTGATTTAAAAAAAATTATTTATTTGGTTGCGCCTGGTCTTAGTTGTGGCACGTGGGCTCCTTAGTTGTGGCAGGTGGGTTCCTTAGGTGTGGCATGCAAACTCTTAGTTGCAGCATGCAGGTGGGATCTAGTTCCCTGACCAGGGATCGAACACAGGCTCCCTGTACTGGGAGCGTGGAGTTTTAAACACTGAACCACCAAGGTGATTTTTATTTTCTTCTTTATATTTTCTATATTCTCAAATCTTCTAAAGAGAAATTTTATTAACTTCCAATTTTTTGTGATAATCAACTTATTTATCTGAAATAAGGTTCATTTTTTATTCCAATAATTTAATAGAAAATTAAAATAATAAATAATATGAAAAAAATTGAGAAGATGCTGAGCTGGTGCAGGCGCAGGCCCGCCTAGTACAAAGTTAAGGAGGTAGGGAGGAAGGTGGGGAAGCAGGAGGGAGGCAAACTGCCCTGCACAATGGTGAGGAGGTGGCTCAGAATGTGGTGGGTGTTATTAACCGCTGGCTTGACACTTTGGTGCGTACAATGTACTAAAAAAAGACAAAGGGAATTCTAAATCCTTCTAAACCAGCTGGTTAGGGAAAAGGGCAGGACAAGGATGGGGATGAGGGAACCAATGTAGGCCTTCTGAAGGCCTCTGAGGGGAGGGGCTGGAATGTACTGTGTGGTTAGCAATGAGGTGGGAATGGATGGAAAAGGGCCAAAGTGAACTGTACCATGCAATGAAGGGATGGAAGAAAGACCCACGACTTGGCCAGCAAAGCTGGGGCAAAGGTCTGGGAAGGGGAGGAAGAGAGAGAGGGACTGGGTCCCAGTAGCCTGGGTGCAGTGGTTAAGAATCCACCTGCCAATGCAGGGGACACAGGTTTGACCCCTGGTCCAGGAAGATCCCACATGCCGCGTAGCAACTAAGCCCATGCACCGCAACTACTGAGCCTGCTCTCTACAGCCTGCATGCCACAACTACTGAAGCCCACACGCCTACAGCCTGTGCTCTGCAACAAGAGAAGCCACTGCAATGAGAAGCCCGCGCACCGCAATGAAGAGTAGCCCCCACTCGCCGCGACTAGAGAAAGCCCACGCGCAGCAATGAAGACCCAACACAGCCAAAAATAAATAAATAAATTTAAAAAAAAAGATTCAAATTTAGAGATGACCTAAAATTATTATGCTTCTTATATAATTATGCAGTATGATGGAATGGTTTTGAACACGCAATTATAACTTTTAGGGAAGCATAGCTTGCATCTGAGTACTTACTACGCTTAAATAGACACTATCAGATACATATTATTTACTTACAAAAATGATTTCATTCAAGCAGTTATATCCATAGTGAACCTCTTAGACCAGGATGTGGATGAATTTGTATACTTACATGTACAAAGCTTGAGGACCTATCATAGAGGCTAGGAATGCAGATACCACTCCAGACCCTGACCCTACTTCAAGGCATATTTCCACTCTAAAAACACAAAATAAAACAAGTATTAGTAGTGGTATTAAAATACACATCTCGGGGGGGCTTCCCTGGTGGTGCAGTGGTTGAGAGTCCGCCTGCCGATGCAGGGGACACGGGTTCGTGCTCCAGTCTGGGAAGATCCCACATGCCGCGGAGCAGCTAGGCCCATGAGCCATGGCCGCTGAGCCTGCGCGTCCAGAGCCTGTGCTCAGCAACAGGAGAGGCCACAACAGTGAGAGGCCTGCGTACTGCGAAAAAAAAAAAACACATCTCGGAAAATAACTCATGCTACTTTTATGTCTGTTTCTCCAGCATCATCCTTCACCTACAAATATATGGAAATATAAAAGAAATTTATAAATAAGCTGATTTCCAACAACCACTTTGTGCTTAATACTGCATAGTTCAAAACTGTTTTGGGGTATGTAATTTATTTTAAGTCTGTAAAATAGTAATATAACAGGTAGCTTTCAATTAACTTCTATAAAACATTACATAAACCATGGAATGTTAATTTAGGGTTGGAAATATTAATATGGAAGACATCAGCCCTTCCCACAAGGAGCTTCTAGTTTGGTATTTCCTAAAATGATAGGATATTATTACAATATTTATTTATGAAAAACATTTTCTCTGTCACTTTGAAGTAATTCATAAGTCCATCAGCATATCCCAGGGAAAGAAAAGTTCTCCCATTCTACTGATAATAGATTTAGAGCAGCAAAGAAATTCCATATTTGTACAGCTCTACACTGAATTGGGAAAATATCTGAGTATCTGATCTTAGAATATTAATAATACTCCTAAGAATGCTATTGAATATAATTCTTGATTCTACTGTATTTGTCCTTCCCTATAATCATATATATACATCAAAGGCACGAATTATCCCCATTACAGAAATAGATTTGATGGGATATAGGGGCCTCTCTAGCACCAAACTTTCCAAACAACTATTCAAAAACAGCAAACTCCAGGGGTTTCTCACTTTTGGAACCATTTCTACACATCTGACAAGCCTTTACTGTGCTGTAGGAAGGTCTGTTGAATCTTACCAGGCGGCTTCTACTTGAAAATAACTATTGTGGCCTCATAAATAATTAAAATTCCAAGACCAGAAATACCCAAGACTTTAAAACAAAATCAGTTCCTTTTACAGCACACTTTGCAAGGCACTTTGTGCTTGTAAATCTTTCTGTGATATCTTGATAGTAAAAGACAAGTTATAAAACAGTACTGTTCCATTCTATATTCCAGTAAATACAAAAGTTCCATCGTTCACAATGAAAAACTAGTTTAATAATAGTTGGGCCATTTTACACATGGAAAAATCTGACCAAGAGGGATAAATAAACACAATATGGATCTTTTTTTTTTTTTTTTTTTTTTTCTTGCGTCATGCGGGCCTCTCCCTGTTGTGGCCTCTCCCATTTGCGGAGCACAGGCTCCGGACGCGCAGGCTC